AACAAATCAAAACAACTTTTGTTTGCTGTCATGGCTGACTATGAATAATCAACAATTCATTTAAATTCGCAGTACATTTCCTATCATGTGACAAATTTTTTAGTTTGATTTTATTCAAAAATGGCACAATTTATCGATATTCAATAAGAGTACCTTTTTTATGTAGAAAAACCTAAATTTTCAAATTCTAAAATGGAATTTCAAAAATAGAATCACACAAAATTTTCGGGGCTAAAATAACCTGAGTCCGTTCCTGTTACATACGCTTCCAAACAAAACTGTCTAAAATTGTTAATATTTTTAAATACAGCATAAAAAACTAAGCTAGGATACCAAATTTTATGTCTTTATCTCGACACGCTTCGGAAATATTAAGGAAAAACCATCTTCAGGTTAGCCCCTTTAAAACACCGTAGGGCCCTTAGGGGACGTTTGTCGACCTATGTTTATATAAAATTTTCTTCCTATTTTAACCTCTAGAAACTGCTGGTAGAATATTGCACACATTTTTTTATAGGGAAATAGGGAAATTGAACGGATCAAGTCAGTCAAACAGGCCCATACAATTAGACCATACACATTATGTATCTAACATCAATGTAAAGGCAAAATTTAAAATGTTGCATCTATAATAATTATGTTGTATGATTTGTTCGTTATTGTATTTGATGAAAACGTCATCGATATTGTGCGGTTAACCTTGTTTAAAAATTTAATGCCACTAACATATATGTCTGTATTGTGTGTACAGGAAACACTCGATAATGTTATCACTGAATTGTTTATACCGCAACGTATCCTCTGATAGTGTTCGATAACTAGTTTCGTGTTAATTTACATTATCACAATGCAAATAAAAGCTCGCGTATAACGTTTTTCGAATTGAATACTTTAGAAAAGTGAATAAGTAATTTGTTATTTTCATAATCTACTTTACTTGTCTTTTAAGCGTTAATGCTTGACTTGACTTGATTTTTTGTTGTTTCACTTGACTTGGGGTCAAGCATTTTCAAACTACTTGATACTTGATGGCAAATTATATTTTTGTTCTGCTAAAGAACTTCGGTGATATTTATAATTGTATGAGCCTGTTTGACTGACATGATCTATTTAATTTGTTTGTTGAGTTGAGTCATTTATTTTAACAGCTTGTAGAATTTTTAATCTTTTACTATTTCTTTTATCATGCGACTTTTATACAGGGTGACTTCGAAGTTGAGTCATTTATTTTAACAGTGAGTAGATCTGATCAAAAGAAATGTTTTTTTCCTTTACCATTTCTCTGGTAAAATTAAAGTAACAAAGTTATAGCCCTTTGGAAGTTTGAGTACCGCCCTGTCTCAATAATAATATCATGTGCTCGTGTTTGGCAACAACGGATATAGTCCACCTTATCGGTTCATCGCATCGGAAACAAAAAAGCGAAAGAATTTGGAACGATGTTTTTACAATTATTTTATTCAGTTGTAAACAGTCAGTGTCAGTCGACGAATAGTGGTGTCTGTTGCGTGGCTCAAACGAAATAAAAAATGGCACATGTTTATGCGGATCGGTTTCCCAATCGAGTGCAACCAACCCCTCGTGCCTTTGTTAATGTAGTACAACGGGCTCGTGAATCAGGTGACTTAAGACCTCACAGGGGACCTCACGATCAAATACAGGTCCGCACTGAAATACTTGTCGGGAGGATACTTTATAAAACAAGGTAAATTTTTTTTTATTTTTACACACATATTTTGGTTTATCTTCCTTCTACAATCATTATCTGAAAATTAATGACTCAACTTCAAATTCACCCTGTATAGGTGATTTTTGGTATTCAATAAATGGCTCAACGTTGAAAACACCCGGTATTTGTTCGTAGTCAGCTTCTTTCTATGTGAGCCGAAAATGATCTTTTCCCCCAATGCCCCATCTAGAGTTCTAATTGTACAGTAATTCGCTAAAAAAAAAAAAGACGATTGTTAAATTTCAAGAACAGTTAAAGTAGGATGCAAGATGGACGACAGATTCACGCTTTCAAGAGCCCGAACAAAGGTCTACCAAAACACACTTATCTCCAGCGCAAAATTACTTTCTCTGCAGTTTATACGTAGCCGCGACGCGGCCGTTCTGCCATTTCGCATCATAAATATTATATTGTACCGTTTTTCGAACCGCCTATTAGTGTGTCGAACATGATGTATCAATCGCTATAATCTCGAGTCCTTCGATAGTGTCAGAGCTGATCGCAAATCGCTGGGCAGCGGGTTCAGTGTTCGGCTCAGAGACCCAATTCGTGAAACTGAGAGAATTGAACAGCTAGTCTTAGGGTGGATGTTACCAGGATTGTCAAATCAACAGTCCGTTATTCTCCAACAATCCGTCAAATACAGCAAATGAGGTTCAAGTTCCAATCAACAAATTTTAGCAACCAATAGCTATGAAATGTTGAAAACAAAATATGTACTGTCAAAGTATGAGATGACAGCTTGTCATTGAAACATCACCAGCTTATTGAATAATTATGAAATTACATATAATTTGGTCAAAATTTAAAAAAGTGTTCGATTTTTGAATGAAATTCATGTCTTTATTTAATATTGTCGATATGCGATTTTACCGGTTCAACATCACCTACCGTGTGTTTTTTCCTATAAACCTCTTGCAGATAGCCATTAAGCAGCTACTTGATGACGGGCTCTACCAAAAATTTCATAGATGCTCGTTTCCAAACATTCTTTCATTTACTTGCCGTTCATCAATACCATTATAGCAAAAAACCATTCAGGATTTTTGATATCCATACATCCATATGTATATATATGTATATGCATAGAATTTAGAATATAAATTCATATTGCAAATTTTAGATTGTCTATGCATGGACTTGAACCGGATTTTTCGGTATTTTAACCGAAAGGAGAATGTGATCAACCAGTTGCAATACGTTTTATATCTTTTTTTTTGCAAAATAACAAAAATCGGTACATTTCTACAGGTACGTATTATGTACAACACCCTGTGCGTGATATACAGACAAAACTATACTAAGTGACATATAAATCCGAAAACCCAGTTTAAATGGTTTTATTTTAATAAAATTTTGTATAAGTACTTAATGAAGCATAATAAGTAAATGATAAAAATTTCAAAATGATTGCACTGCTTTAAAGCCCTTTGACCTTTAATAATGTGTGGATGCACCCTGATGTGCTACGCATTCTCCAACGCGCCTAGGCATGCTCTTGATCAGGTGGTCAATGTCCTCCTGTGGTATCTCATTCCAGGCAACCACCAACTCCTCTCGAAGTGCTTCTAGAGTCTGAGGAGGACGTTGCTCAATTGGGGATAAGTCGGGAGATCTTGGTGGCCATGGTAACAATGTGACATCATTATGTTGAAAGAAGTCTATTGTGACTCTTGCAACATGTGGTCGGGCATTATCTTGTTGGAAAGTTGGATCTGCCAGGGTGTCAAGATAGGGTAAAAGATGGGGTTCTAGAACTTCGTGGATATAACGCTGCGCGTTCATGTTACCTCTGATGAAGATTAAAGGTGACCTGGAACCATAAGCTATAGCATCCCAAACCATAACTCCAACAGTGTGATGAACATGTCTTTCAACAAAAAACTGTGGATTCGTCCTTTCACCACGTCGCCTTCTAACCCTGGCACGACCATCGTGCATGCCTAAACAAAATCGAGACTCGTCACTAAAGACAATACTGTTCCATTCCTGATCCCAGAGTGACCGTTGTCTGCACCACTCAAGGCGATTACGTCGGTGTTCTCGAGTTAAAGGGAGGACCCAGTGTGGCCGGTATGAAAACAAGCAAAAACTTCTCATTCGTCGGTAAACACTTCGCATGCCAATAGGTCTTCCGTGTTCTGCAAACCATTCATTTGCAGTGGACCTGGTAGTGGAGAAACGGTCCCTTAAGGCCAATAATCTTAGGCCGGCGATCTTCACGGTCTGTTGTTCTACGGCGGCGTCCAGTGCCCCTTGCTCTTTGCGTACGGCCTTCTCGAAGCCATGCCTGACAACACCTAACCACAGTGTCTACACTTCTTTGCACTCTAACTGCAATTGCCCGAAAAGAAAGTCCAGCTTCCCGAAGTCCCACTATTCGGCCCCTATCGAACTCACTAAGTTGACGAAATTGTACAGGTCTCCGTACTCTAGGCATCGTAACCGATCGTAAAGGATGTCAAGAACCAAAATCCGCCAACGTTAATTCTTTACTGCGGCTGAAATATTCATTTTTAGAGCATTAGTGAATTAAAAAAAAGCAGTATAAAAACCGGAATGTCCAACTGATAGGGCTGAACATTTTTTCACTTGTTATTTACAGTAAGATAAATACATTCACCAACTTTTATTAAAATAAAACCATTTAAACTGGGTGTTCGGATTTATATGTCACTTAGTATAGATTGCCATGGATGAACAGTCGTCAAAAACAGTGAAAACATCCTACTAAGCATAATAGCTAGAAAATCGAGCTATTATTTCTCTCATTTTCATTGGTCCATTTAAATAACTGACCGTCTTTTGTGAAATGATAAAAATTTGAAATTCTATGAAAGTTATCCTAATTCTAAAGCACACAGACATAATATTACATCTATGATGTACGCTTATTTATAAGGCAACCATTTTTTCACGACTTTTTCAACATTTCAATAGAAATAATTGATATCGAGAGAGCTTTGACTGCTTCCGTCAAACTGCATTTGATAAGGTCTTTTCCGATTGGTCCAACAGACCGTTAAATATTAACGTTGGTGAAATTGGCCCTTAAACTATTATTACTTTTCATACATAATTTCTCAGTTTCAATAAAAGATTAAGATGAAAAAAATGGACGTATTTTATTTCAATTCACAAATATTCTAAATTTAAACCAGTCAGTTACATATCGGCCACCCTGTACTTTTAACATTGTCCTTTAAAAGTGATAAGAGACCGTTGAGTTTTTGGACATACCTTGTATGCTTTTAAAAAAGCACAGCTGTCATTTGGCATGATACTTCATTATGTGACGTACGCATGCCATATGAACAGTAATACCGAATAAACACGCCAAATTGTAAAAGTACCCGAAAATTTTCGTCTCACATGGAAAAATGCAAGTTATCGACAGGACTCCGAATCAAGCATACAGTCGGGTGTGCACGTGGATAAGCTCAAACGATTTCACTGAACAAGACGCCGGGAAACCGGAAACAGATGCCGCAACGTCGGTCTTCACTGGAAGCAAAGTCAGCAATTTGACGTCCGTGTCCAGAATGGACCCTTATTCCAGCGTGAAAGTGGAGGAACGCACCGATATAGTGAGATTCCCGGATTTGGATAAACCCGTCAGTTCCGAGGAAAAGTTCGCAGAAACCGTGAAAACAATGAAGACCAAACCGCCAGTGCGACAGTTGACTAGGTTTTCGCAATACTCACCGTTTTCAGCAACAAATTTGAAATCGGCATCCGCCCCACCCACTCAGTTCTCTGTTATAGTGGAAGGAGAGGAGTCAGAAAAGCCGTCGAATAGCAACAAAAGTAACAAGACAAAAAAAACTGCGAGTTCAAAAGCGAAAGAGAGCGCGTTCAGTTACAAAACTGTGAGAAGCTTGAAAGTACCAAGTGTGCAGCCGAAAACGCCTGAAAGCCGTCCTAAAAAGTCCGTCGGCATTGATACAAGACAAGAAAAGGAGCTGAAAAAGAAAGTAGATTGGGGCAGAATTAGGACGGGACTGTTGCTTCGACTTTTCTTCAGAGGATTTTCCGAAATGACCGTAGTTACTGTGGTATTGTTTCTTCTAGACGTATTAGTGAACTCTGAGCAGTACGGGTATCAAAACTATATTTTTAGTTCATGACACACTAATAAATAAAGTATTAGTAGAACATAGTTGTTTGTAATATCCTCTAACCGATCCGCTTAAATCCGTGATGCCCCCCCCCCCCTCCCCCCGCCATAAATAAGAATCATGTCCATTTTCGTAAATATGTGCCATTTTTTATTTCGTTTGAGCCACGCAACAAACACCACTATTCACTCACGCGTTACCGACTGACACATTGACTGAATACAACTGAATAAAATTGTAGTAAAAACATCGTTTCAAATTCTTTCGCTTTCTTGTTTCCGATGCGATGAACCGATAAGGCGGATTATATCCGTTGTTGCCAAACACGAGCACATAATATTATTGAGACAGGGCGGTACTCAAACTTCTAAAGGGCTATAACTTTGTTTAATATTACCAGAAAAATGTTAAAGGAAAAAACATTTCTTTCGATCAGATCTACTCACTGTTAAAATAAATGACTCAACTTCGAAGTCACCCTGTATGTATATTTTTGTTTATTTTTTTATTCTAAAACTACTTTATACTGTTTTTCTTTTTTAAATATTGGTTACTATGATTATATTCAAAAACAATGCTTTTAAAATTGGTCACGTGAATGTACGATCTCTGTTCACTAATTTTAATGAACTCAGGCAAATCGTTGAGGAGAAAGATTTTGATATTTTAATTTTAACTGAGACTTAGTTAAAAACTGTTGACGATTCTAATATATTTAATATCCCTAATTATCAATTTATTAGAAAGGACCGACTGGGTAGGGGTGTAGCGGCCTACGTAAAGACAGAATTAGGAGTACAAATGTTAAACTTGTATTTCGAAACTAATGTACGACTTGAGTACTTTATATTTAAACTAAAAATTAATAACAAAAAATACGGTTTTTGTGTTTTTTATAGACCACCAAAGCTTAATTTTAATGTTATAATTCCTGAGGTTGTTAACATATTTTCCTGTCTTTACCCTTTAGTTGATGAAATTATTTGTTTGGGAAATTTATTTAACCTTCAAAATCCACTGGTACCCCTATTTGAAAATTATAATCTTACGCAGATCAGTGAACCTACACGCATTTCTGGAACGGTTTGTACTCTGCTTGATGCGATATTTGTCACTAACTTGTCGATAGTGGCTAGGTCTGGGGTTTTATCGGCGGATAATATTTCAGATCATAAATTGATTTACTGCGATCTTAATGTTTCAAAGGAAAGTAAATCACCTAAAATAATAAAACATCGTTCTTTTAAAAATTTTAGCCTAAATAACTTTCTAGCAGATTTGCAAAGTTTGCCGTGGAATAATATATGAGAATAATATTGATAATAAAATAACTATTTTAAATAATCTAATTTTTACATTGTTTAGTAAGCATGCAACAATAATAGAATCACTAATAACAAAACCAAAAGCGCCTTGGTTAACTAACAATATTAAATTATTTATGAAACAAAAGATGCAGCACTGCAAAAATTTAAAAAATCAAAGCTTCAATCAGACTGGGTAGATTATAAACATTTAAGAAATTTTACTTTATCGTTGATAAGAAAAGAGCAGAAGGAATACATAGACTCTTTTGAAGGTAACTCCAAAAAACTGTGGTCTGTTTTAAAAAGTTTTAATATCTGTTCTACAAAAAATAATGAAATTCCCCAGTCTTCATCATAACATGATGATATTAATAGCTTTTTTGCTGTTTTTATACAAAATAAATCTACCTGTTCGGAAAAAATTAAATTTTATAAAAACAATGCCTTTAAAAATACCTTAACCTTTAACTTTAAATTAGCAGAAATAACAAATATAAACAAAATTTTAAACAAAAACATAATAAGTAATGCAACCGGGGTAGATGATATTTCGCCCTTAATGTTAAAATCTTGTAGTCCGTACATAGATAAGTATATACATATTGTAAACAAGCTACTTTCCCGACAAGTGGAAAATCTCCATAGGAAAACCGTTACCAAAAATAACTAATCCAGATGAGTTCAGTTTTGGTACTTCTAGACTTTTCAAAAGCTTTTGATACCATTAATCATGAATTGTTGGTAGCTAAACTTCAATACTATGGCTTTAATAAGGAAGCATGTTTGCTTTTAAAATCATATTTGACAGGAAAGTGTCAATCGATTCTATCAAATGACACATTCTCAGACAAAGCGGAGATCCTATCGGGAGTTCCTCAGGGATCAATATTGGGCCCCTTGTTAATTTTAATTTACATATCTGATATCCTTACGTCTTTAAAGTTTTGTAAAGTTCAGGCCTTCGCGGATGACACCCAGGTTTGTTGTTTTTTTGATATTGAGGATTACAAATATGTATTACACACACACCTTGAACAATCTCTTATTAGGTCACAACTTAAAACTTAATCCGGAAAAATCGCATGTAATGATTTTTGGTAACAGATCACTAAAAAAAGTTGTGTGAATCCCTAATTCTTTCCAATTTCAATTATTGCGATTTTGTCTATGGGTTTTGCTTAGATCAGGCAAGTAGGGGTCGGATTCAGAAGGTGCAAAATGCGTGCCTCAGGTTTATCTATGGTCTGCGTAGGTTTGATCATACATCTCATTTGTATAAAGAAATTAAATGACTTAAAATGAATCAGCGTCGCACTCTGCATTTTACTAGTTTTTTATTAAAAATTATAAACACTCCAGGTTCACCTGATTCTATAAGAGAACGGTTAATTTTCCGACATTCTGTTCATGATATAAATGTAAGATATTTAAAAAAATTAACTATGCCGCTTCATAGAAGTGCATTGTTCCAACGATCATTCTCATACAATGCTGTTAAACAATTTAATTCACTTCCCAACCAGTTCCTTAATCTTTCTCTTTCAAGTTTCAAAATACAATACAAGAAATATTTGCTAAATAGAAATATGAACAAACTTTTTTAGAATAGAGATTGAAGTTTATAATATAGGTATGTAACTAGAAAAAATATGTCAAGCAAATTTTATAGTAACCAGTAACCAAATTTTATAGTGACCAGCATTAATTAATATCTTTTTGAAATTTTAATATACTCGTACTTTCAGTCCATTTAGCGTTAACACGTGATTATTATTATGATTATTCTGTATTGTTAAGACTTATTACTATTATTATTTTTATATTAGGCAATGTATTCTGTATTTTTTTTCTAAATTACCTTTGTAAAAAGATTACTTGTTTTATTATATATATTTATAGAACTCTTTCATAAAAATGTTTTACTTTGACTATACCAAACTTTGACTCTCTCCGAGGACATTCGTGCAGCTGCTGACTTTTCTTTTTCCTTCTCTGGTAACGAATGAAAAACTCCATACATCAGCAAATCACATTTTCTTTAGAAAGCCTTTCAACTTCATTTTATGTAAGTTTATAGGTCACCGATATATAAAGAGCTTTGTGAGCGGATATTCCATTATATAACGTAATTGGATTCAGCTATGCTAGCCGATTAAAATGTCAATCTAGCCCTTACTGCTATTTTTATTCACATTCAAGTTTAGAAGGACAGAGCTTCTATCGCCCTTCGATACAGTTTCCGACAAACTGAGATTTATTCAAAAGATCGGCAACTTGAACAAATATTCCAGCTTCCCATGTTGAAAAATATTTACTGCTATACTATGGGGTTGTCCAAAACGGAAGCAGGAAAGTAAACGCATATTAAAACAAGAAAGATTGATATTCAAATCAAGTTGGGTACTTTATTTTGAAGGTTCATTTATACCATTTATGTATGAAAAATAATATCGCTCAAATGTTCATCACGACTGGATTTACAGACGTCCACGCGACGGTCGTAATTTCCAATGACATTTTGCAACATGGTCGGTTCTATGGCATTTATCTCGGCAATGATGTTGTTTTTGAGTTCTTGGAGGGTGGCTGGTTTGTTGACGTAGACTTTGCTTTTCAAATATCCCCATAAAAAAAAGTCCAAGGGAGTCAAATCGCACGATCTCGGTGGCCATGGCACATTTCCTCTGCGCGAAATCACGCGATCACCGAAGAAGGACTGCAATCGATGGATATTGACGTTGGTTGTGTGGCATGTTGCACCGTCTTGTTGGAAATAAACATCGTCTATATCCATTCCTTCAAGTTGCGGCAAAAAATAGTCCTCTATCATCACGTGATATCACTCAGAATTGACGGTAACGGCGTCCCCGCATTCATATTCATATCCTTGTGGAGAATGCGGAGCAAACTGGTTCTCGAAAGGCCCAATTCTTGGGATCGACGCGTTGTTGATTGTTTCGGATCGTCTCTCACACTCTCCTTCACAACAGCAATATTTTCCGGTGTGCGAACGCTCCTTGGCCGGCCAGAGCCTGGCAGATTTGCCACAGAACCTGTCGCTTCGAATTTACGCACCAGACGACCGATGGTTGTTTCGTTTGGGCGGTTTTTGCGACCGAAATGTTCACGAAGCGCGCGAAACCTGTTTTTCATTTTTGCACCATTTTTGTAGTGCTCTTGAATAACTTTAATGCGGTCTTCAATCGAATACGACTCCATAGCGATCAATGGTAAACATTCAACTAACAAAATGACATGTCGGTGACAGAAAACAAAGATGGCGTCTATGTCAAATTGACGTTTACTTTCCTCCGTCCCTATTGGACAACGCTATATAAACAAAGTTTACAATCCAAAAATGATGCTGTCGCCTGTTCGACCAAGAAAACTCTCGTGCTTCTTGGGTACTCATCAGCATGGTCTGATATCTCTCTTTTTCCGCAGTGGTCGATTGCTGCGCTAGATGGCGCTTTGCGCTGTCTTATTTCGAAAGTTTACAATGATTATAGTTTGTATTCCTCCTCCTCCTCCTTTGGAGCTAAATAAAGGATGGGTCAAGTCTCTTCATAAAAGTCAAATGGAATAGAAACATGTATAGGTATGTTGATAGATACAATACATCGTAAACCGCTACTTCTCAAACTAAATAAAATAACAAATCCATCATATTTTTCTTTTAATAGTGAATATGTCGAAAATATG